TTTTTTACTGCTCGATTAGCTATCTATACATAACTATGTAACAAAACAGCATTTGTAAAGCCCAAGAAAACTTCACCCAGCAAAACACACAGGCACTGTACTATTCTGGCATGTGCATCTTGGAAGAACTATTTCCAATTATTTATTGTCCACTACATCTGATTGTACTTTATCATATGGAATATTTTAAAATGTATATCCTGCTATCTTAGTTCCCAGAGTTCCGTGAGGCCTTCATGCCTACCTCTATTGTCACAGAGCTTTGACATAAGTTAGCAGTTAGCAAAATGGTCTGTATGGGCATCACAACACATGTAACCCTTCAGATGCCAAATTATTTTTATTCATTTGTTCAATTTCTATAGCTGCCCATCTCAATTCAATTGACACTGGGAAATATCACAATAATTAAAACAAAGTTACAAATTATACATTTAGGTAGCTGGAAATTATAATTATATTAAAATTAATAATGCAGTCAGGTAACAGTGCCTCTAACACTTTCAGGACATCAGACTTGGGCTTATGCCCAGGTCTTTAAAGTCTTATGAGAGGTTAACAAGGTTGAGGCCATCCAAAGCTTTGGAGGAAGAATATTCCAAAAAACAGGGGCTACTGCCAAGAAGGCACATCTCTTGGTCCCCACCAGCCCATATCCCTTGGCTGACAGGACCACAGCATCCCCCGTCTACTGGACCAAATTGGATAGGGAGAAATTATTGAGAGAAGACAGCCTTTTTAATCTAAAAGCTTGGGAATTCATCCAATCTCAGATTGTGGTGTGATTTTTGGTGTGCTCGTGTGAAATCTTACCCAATTTTTGATCAAAGCACAATTTTTTACAAGACTTCTTAATTGTGTGAGGATACTAGCCATTATTATTAAATAATTATTACTATGACTGCTACTATCATCACCAGGGTATCAATAGTTCTTCAATCATTGATTAGATATTTATCCTAAAGCAACTCAAGAAAAGATGGACATATACAAATAATCACCAGATGTCAAATTCAGCCTGGTAAGCATCAACAATGTTTTCAGAGGTCTTCAGAAATCTACCTTTGAGTCATGAGGCACTTCCACATACTAGTGTTATTAAAGACCAGACTTTGATGGTGAATACCCACAATTCTCCTCTTTAAATAAGGCAGGACATTGCCCTCACACCTATCATCCCAATGACTGAAACTCTCTATTCTAATTTCTCCTTTAAATGAACTGATAATCCTAGAGGTTCACACATTATGCTACACACAAATATGGAACTTTGGATCATTTTCCTCAATAAATACATGAACAATACTTTTAACTTAACTGTGTTTTTAATCCAGTTTTAGGATTGTGGAGAGATGATCACATTTTAGGTCATATTTATGCAAAAATGTTGAAAGCCCAAGAGTTCATAAACATTTCAAAACACCGCCACATACTGCCAAGATAAAATTTCAAGGAACAAAGCTAGAAAACGGGACTGGAAAGGTAGAGATATCTTTAATTCCATGATCAGGTTTATATACTTTCCTTTTTTTAACTATTTCTCTACTTATTATTGCAGTCTAAAATACCAGATCAGATTAACTGGAAACATGACAGTAACAAAGATCTGCATGAAAAATGTTGATCCTAAAAATTATTGAAGAGATCTTTCCTGAGAAATATCTTCCTTTCTCTTGTTTTCAACAGCCAATTTACCATCATATTTGGCCTAGGATTCTAACAATAGATCTATTTTTATGTTGGTCCTAGAGTGTATTTTCCCTACTGGTTATTTGGAAACCATAAAGAATTGCACTTTTGTGTTTCAGTGCATTAACGTTTGCTATAGTTATATAATATAAAGTTACATAATACAAAAGGTGTTTTTTAAGTGTTTTTTAAAATGTTTTTCTTTTAAAAAATGTTTTAACCAACTGTTGCAATGATTATACAATAGCATAGCATATAGGACCTACTATAATAAAATGTATAAGTATCATCCATTGAATTAACTTTTGGCACCCTCCCTATACTTTTCTATTAATCTCCATCTTTGAAGATGTCCTTACCAAATTTGGAAAAAAAAACTTGCTGACATTCATGACTAGTTCATTGAGCTCATTAGCAGAATTGTGTCAGTTTTCAAAGCAGCATTTCATTTTGACAACAGTTCAAAGGAAGTGCTTTTTGAGTGTCCCTAACATGTTGTGTTGGCCTGGTTCTAACTAGTGCAGCAGGATTGCTACGGCGCTTCACTTTGCTGAATAAAAATGAGTTTTATACATACATAGATACATACATAGATACATACATACATACATAATTCATCCCAGGAACAGATGCTAGCTACTGAAGCAATGCAACCAAATCAGATCAGATCAGCCTCAATGGAGAGTAATATGCTTCAGAAGACACCAGGTTGATGCAGCACAACTAAATTCTACCTAGGCTAGGTCTAGAGTTTAATCCCTTCATTTGAATATTAAAATAGTTCTTGTTTAGGAGTCAAAATCTTTCATCAATTTTCTGCTAGGTCTAGGAAATCAGATAAAATTCTGGTTCTCTACTAAATATCTTATCTACTAAATATCTGCAACAATTAATGGTTAAAATAAACCTTGGTTTTACCTAACATGTAAAACCGTGCTTCCTTTCCATTTCCAGGAATCCTATTAATTACTCCCAAATATATAAAATGAGGAGGCAATGCAATACTGTAATTTATCCAATTAACATCCAACCCTCCAACAGAATTCCAGGGCTACTAAAATAAAACCAAATCACTGCTACCACTTCTCAGTATTCTAAATATGTCAAATTGTACTCTTTACTGTAAGTAATCTAATTCTACTAATAGTTCATTCATTAGAAAAGCATCTCCAAAGAAATAAGTCCTAATCCATATAGAGCAAGATAAATAATTTAAAGCTCAAAATAACGAAAAACTGTGTTTTTATTGTTCACCTAAAGAAGTTTTACAATAAAAATACCTTTTAAAAGCAAGCAAGTTATTCTTCTTTTGTTCCAGCATTTAGTTTCAAGCATTTTATGGAATTCTCTTGACAAAGCCAGAGGTGTAACTGGATAGATAATACAATGGCATCTTCTTTCCTTAGTTGTGTGAACAGCATTTTAATTGGTCAGTCTAAAGCAAACAATTCCTATCCACACTATCCAGTACACACAATATACAAAAAAAAGAAGTAACTGCACTGGAACAAAATACCCCAAAAGACAAAGAAAAACCCATAGCAGAACTACACAGTGGTTAAGATATATTCCATCCCTTGATGATAAATTGTGGCCTATAACTAGATGACAGGGGAAATTAACAGCACTAATTTGAAGGACAGGAAATACATTATCTCATATATATATACATATATATACATATATACATATATATATGAGATTTAATTAATTATGCATTAGTAATAAGGTGATGTCTCATTTGGTGAAGTGTTCAAGTTGATTTGGTTGGAAGGAAGAAGAGAAAAATGGGTATATTTAGCATTCTGTAACAATTTAGGAATTTATAGTTTTTGTAATACATCTTCATAACTGAAGTGTTTTACACTTGCACAATGTTAATCACTTTATTATACATGACCACCTGAAACAGGCCAATTACACAATAAGACTGCAAACAACCACTGGCATTTTTCTGCCTTCTGAAAAGCCCCTAAGGCAGAAGTATCACCAAAAAGTACATTTAAAAAATCTGCAAAAACATCACCAAAATTACATTTAAAAACTAATTTTAAAAACAATCTGCAAAAAAAAAGTGGTTCTGGACAGTGCAACTGCTTTTTTAAGCAGTTTTAAAATAGCCACTAAGTTCTCTAGAAGGTTTTTGTGGCTTCACAGGCTTTAATCAAGATTCACATATCATAAATAATGTACCACAAAATATACATTAATTTGAGCAACAAATTCCTTAGGAAGAGTCTGGCTACAAGAGACCACATAGATACCTGTCACATAGTTCGCATGTTGAACCCATCTCTGAATCCAAGTAAAGTCTCATGACCCAAGCCTGCAAAGTGTTCTACACATCCTTAAAACCCACACGTAATCTGAACCCCACCCTAAAATTCAAGAGAGTTTGTGGATGTAAATCCCAATGCACACTGGGAGACTTCTCTATGTACAACTAATTGTTCTTTATTGTATCTTATATAGAAAACTTTATAGACTTCTAAAATAAAGGGGATATTCCACAGTTTAACTCCTGACGTCATGAGACATCTGAAAGTACATAATATTATATAATCTTCTGGAATGTGTATCTTCTAAAATTCCAGCTGTTAAGCTAAGGGACAAGAAAAAAATATCACAATCTTGGCAAACAAACTTGGTATAGAAAACAGATGATTAAAAAAAGACAGCTTAAGATGTTTTTAAAAAATGAGCAAAGGGAAATAAAAGGTTAAGAGGCCAATTGAATGGATTTTTAAAAATATATAATAAATAATGCATTCCAAAGCGTATATAAATTATTATTGTAATTTGAATTTGGAGTTACAATGACATGAAATTCCTACTTCAAAAATCCTCTTGTAGATTATACCATTAATATCTCTTTACAGAATTATAATCTTCTAGGGGCAGGGAGGAAGGAGAATGGACATTATTTTTCTTAAAGCTATCATTCCAGGAAACATACCAAGGATCTGAGAGTAGCTACCCTAAAATATGGAATGGGCATTATCTCCTGGAAAAAGAAATAAAAGTAGTATGTTAAAAACTATAAACAAGCTTTAGGCAGCTAAATTCTCAGAATTTTATATCACCCAGATACAAGACAGCAATTTGCAATGTCTTAGAACCCTTTGTTAAATGGCAGAATAGAGTTACCACTTATTTGTAAATTCAAAACTCCAATACACCAACAGTGTACAGAATCTCCTTGCTTCATTACATTTTCCTGAGAGTAAAGCAATTAACATAATCTTAATCCTAAAACAAAAATGATTTTTTTTTGTCTTGGTTTTTAATTTTTTTTTTTTTTGCAGTTGCAATTTTTGGGCTATTCCCTGACAATCTAAAGTTAAGTAAGTTTGATTGCTAAACACTGTCATATGAACACAAAAAATGCAAACTATAATGTCTATCGATTTGATTAAAAATCATAATACAAACCCATCTAAATTAACAAAACTAAATATGAAAAGTTGCATTGAAAGGGTGTGTTACATTATTTGTGTTAGGATCATGTAGAAACATTCCAATGGCAGTGTTATCAAAATAAAACTAATACATTAAGATCACCCCCTAAGCCTAGTCATACTTGAGACTCTACCTATAACTTTGGCTAGTTGGGGTCTTTACTCTTGTACTACATGGCTCACTAACATCAGACATTATATTTGAATACCCTGAGAAATCTGATACTGAAGTCCTTACTCTATGGTCCACTTCTCCATTAGAGTTAGCAATAAAAGTCATTGGCACCCTGCTGCCCGTCTTAAACTGAGAACCAAATGCTTGTGCAAAGGTCTCTATCTGATACGTTGCTCGATGTTCTAGGTCCTTCTGAGGATCTATCTGGTTAGCTAGCTCCTGAGATGGAATGGGAAAGCTTGTTGAAGTTTCTAGGGTTTTTTGTTCCTTCTGGCTATTCAGTTTTTGAGGTGTAGAATGATAGCTTGATGAAGTGTCTATGCTTTTTTGAGAATCTATCAGGTCATCTAGTTCTTGTGAAGGAGTCAACTGTTGATGGGTTGCCTCCAAAGCAGACAAATAAAAACCCGGCTGCGATCCAAGCAACATCCCAAAAGGAGGCTTTGACAATGCAGATGGCAACACTGAGGTAACAGATTGGCTGAAACCACACTCAAGTGGGGACGTAGTGTACACTTGTTTGTCTGGAAACAAAGTATGGTTATGAAGGCTTGAAGATAAACTTACAAATTGGAAACTGGGACCAAAAGCAAAACCAGTGCTATTGGTTGTTCTTTCAAAAGCATGTTGGAGGTATTTTGAGTATTCTTGCAACATGCTTGCTTTGTCATTTGAAGCTGCCTGGGAGCTGGGACTCAGGTTCTCCTCTTGAACCATCTCTGTATGCTCTCCTGAAGATTGCAAGTCCACACGCTGTTCAGTGATGCTGAAGGGATCTTCTTTCTGGCCTTCTGATTTGTGAGAGTACTGATCTAGAAGACTTTGCAAGACTTCATCAGGAATGCCAGACTTATCATGACAAGATTTGATGTCAGCATTAAGAGACGCTGGGTCAATAAGAGATAATGGGGTCTCATTGTCCATAACACTTACCCCTGCAGACTGAATTACAGACGGTTGTGAGGCCATATGCCCAACATTTATAGAAAAGGCACTGTTACTGCTGGCGGTTTGCAAATATCTTCTTTTCTTTGAAAACTGCATGGCATCATCATAATTGCTACTTATTTGACCTGATTTGCCACTTGCTGCTTGGAGAAGGCCAATAGCATCTACACTGGAATTTGCAACTAGGCCAAGAGAGCTACTTGGTTTTCCAGAAAATTGCTTCTGACCAAGGAGGTCTGGTAATGGTGACATAAAATTAAGAAAGCTCTTATCTGCACTTTTCCGGTTTCCTTTTTTAAAGATTAGTTTTGGCACCTTTTTCTGTAGCTCTTCCAACCCAGTGCCAATCAAGCCGCCACTGGAAGACACTATTGGAATCTCTACTGCGTAATTTTGCAAGGACATATTAGACGCAATTTGAGATTCAGATATTTTATGACTAGTTTTATGTTCTTTGTTTTCAGTGGGTATACATTTTGCTTTGCTTTTTCTTTTTGATGAACCTATATTTCCCTGAGACAACATAGACAAGTTGCCCATGCTATGATTTGATGGCCCAGGATCCATTCCAGCACCTGCTTTCCCTATGGCTTCTCCACATGTACGTCTGTGCTTCAAAAGTCTATCAGTTCTTGAAAAATACTGCTGACAGGTTTCACATTTGTATGGCTTTTCTCCGCTGTGCGTTCTCTTGTGCCTCTCCATGTGATACTTCTGGATGAACTTCATACTGCATTGGTCACATCCAAATGGCTTCTCCCTACTGTGGATTTTTTCATGCCTTTGAAGCAAATACTTCTGAATGAAACCCATGTTGCACTGACTACACTGGAAAGGCCTCTCGCCAGTATGGATGAGCACATGCCTGCGCAAATGATAGGAGCTCCTGAAGGCAGCGTTACAGTGTTCACAGACATGAGGTTTCTGGCTAGGGGACAGCATGGCAGCCTCTCCATCTCCTGCCACAAGGGCCTTGGCTGACGTGCTCGGCTTCTTCTTGGCTTTGTTTCCCTGAGATTCTGACTTTGGCCTCTTCACCTTCTTGGCCTGGGCATCCTGTTTATGCTCATCTGAGCCGGCAGCACTTATTTCACCACTGCTTCTGATGCCCAGGAGCAAATCTCCTCTATGGGGATGATGATGGAGGTGATGGAAAAGACTGAGGTCCTGGATCACGCTCTGGTTGGCTCCTTCCACGCCACCTCCTCCACCACCGCCAAGAGGGGGATGCCTCTCCTCCCCAGCGATACCAAAGAGACCCCCATAATGGTGATGGTGGTGGTGGTGATGGTGCTGCTGCTGCTGCTGCTCTTCCTCCTCTTGGTCGCTGGGCTTCTCCTGTTTGATGTTCACCAA